CGCACCCGCCCAGCCCCAGGACCCCGCGGGAACGCCGGCAAAACCATCCCTGCTTCTGCCCACACGCAGCCATCGCAGGCGATATCCCCAGCAATTAACCCTGAGTGCTCTGCCTCCATATCACCGTGCTGAAGACTTTTTCCAAGCCTGGAGGACGTAAGCATGCATTAACTTGTCAGAAAATTCATGGGGAAAGAAAACAGAGCAATATAAACAGGAAACTTCTTACATCATCTGCTGGGCTCCTGCAGGCAAGGAGGATCCCCACCACCTCTCAAAGCAGAGCTGTGCCTGAGCAGCACGGGTTCACGATGGCAGTGTGCCCTCGGTGGGGCAACATGGGAAGGGAGCCGACCTGGAGAGGCGGAGGCAGACCCGTCCAGCAGGATGGGCGCCGTGCAGCCCCAGCTCACCGAGTCCTCCGCGTGGCTAAGAGGCGAGGAGCGCGCAGGACGGAGGACACAGCACCCAGCACTGGGCATCCAGCGCCCCAGGCACAAGGAATGGTCCCTCTCCTCGCGGAGCTGGGGGAAGACACTCCTCAAGCACGTGCTACAGACAGACGGACATGACGGAGCGACATCCAGTAGGGAAGGTGTCCCCCAGCCCAGCAGTCAGTACGGGGTTCCTGCTACCACAGGACAGGCCTTTGGCAAACAGGCCCATGAAACCGCCTGCCCCACAGGGTGTGCCCCACCGGCGGTGTGCAGGGCCCTCCCTGCTCCAGCACGGCCCTGGGTGAGCAGCGCGCTCAGGCTCTCGCCCCAGAGCAAACCCCACCGTGGAGCTGGCGTTCAGCCCACAGCAAGGAACGCGGCTGCATGGGAACCACACCTCTCTCCCACCCCAGGCTCCCCGCCTCCCACCTCTCCTCCCTTTCCTCCCCACCCATATGCTCAGTCTTGCCAGTTTGGGCAGATTTTCAGGAATCTGAAGTTCAGACACACTCTACATTTTGGCAAAATGAAGTCTTTGGTGCTTCAGCTCTTAAAAGACCTGGCTAGTCATCGCAAGCGTCAGTAGCCATTTTCTAAGCGGACACAAAGGCAGGGGAGATTTCTGAGTCATTAAAACACTATGGAAGGAAGAAGATCTCTGACCCATTTGCCAAGATTCCCCCAGGTCTGGTACCCTGGGTGCTGCTACACCGCCCCACCTCCGGCCAGGCGGTACGCTGAACCCCAGGGCTCCAAGAGAACCTGGGAAAGGGACTGGGACATCCCCTGGGCATTTAACTTACACCTGGGCTGGAAGCACCCACACCTTTGCTCGTTTGTTTAAAGAGGAGCAAAGGGAAAAGGAAGGAAAAGAATATGGCAATGGTTGCTTATTGGAAAAAGGACATGAATGAAAGGGAAACTGAGTAAAGCTGATAAATAACATAGCTGTCTCAAAGAGAGAACTGGGTACTTCACCACCACAAAACTCAAAACCATCCGCGAAACTACACGATGTCAAATTCATCTCTAGTAAGAGGAAATACTTTCCCACGCAACTCTGAATCCACCCGTGGAACTGAATGCCGCAGGATGTGGTAGCAAAAGGCAAAGCCATCAGATCCCTAAGGGGACTACAACAACATCCCAAGATAAACTGGTGTTAACGCTTCCCAGAAGATGAGTGGCTCCCCTTTTCAGGGTGCAGTTTGAACCTCTGGCTACTAAGGCTTTAGGGAGTACGCTCCTAGGACGGAGCTGCCATAGCTTGCCTTCATCAAGGCTTTACACCCTCAAGCAACAATCAACTGTCGGTGTCTCATTAGGGAAATTGCATATCTGGAGAAACACAGAGCCTGAGACCGCCTGAGCCCGCACGTTGCCCACGTCTCAGAAGGCGACTTTCTGCACAGCACTGAGAAGTGTGCGTCCGTGTACTCGGCTTCACGCCTTCCGATAGGACAGCATGGGCTCAGAGAGGTCACGGGGAAGCAGCAACCCCACACACTGCTCCAGAGCCCCGACTCGTGCAGAGGAGCCGCCTTCCCAGACATCCAGGCAGGAAAAGCACAGCCCTGCACGCCACCGTCCCGTGGGCCGGGCACCGGGACCTCCTGACACATCT